TTACATCTCATTTTTGTTTATTTTTTTGTCATAATGCAGTATAATGATTTATTTATGACTGATCTAGTGCAGTCATTGCATCAAATGAGTCCATAAAGATTCCGTTACATATAGAGAATTTGATAGCTACTTTTGTGACGATTAATTCCCAAGATTGATTCTAATTTTTTAAATTTCATTTGCATTGCTCGAGTGATCCATTCGCTTTGCCTAGGGAGGTCGGGCAAAGCGGATGGTTTTCTCTTTTTTTATGTTTTAACTATTGTAAAACAACATATTAGTGTTCAAGTTTTTAATTTTTTTAAATTTTTTTTATTTCATTTCAAAGTTAAGTCCTTTAAGGGATTTATGAGAATAAAAATGGTTTTTGATCTCAATTTTAATTATGTCATTTTTTCTTCTCAATCTTAACATGTTCGCGCTGCTCGGGCTTCTCCTACTCATTCAATAATTGAGCGTAAACACTTAATCTTAAGCAGTGTAAACACTCAAATTTAAATGTATACACTCAAATTTGAGTAAACTTCCAAAATTGGATGTTAAGTATAAACATTCAAATTTAAAATTTTTTTCATAAGGTTAATGTGATACGGTCATTTTATGCACCACTTCCGCATGACTTTCGCATTTTTTCCGTACCTCTCTCGCACCTCTCCGTACCTCTTCCGCATTTCTTATGTTTCTATTCCAAACTTCTCCCATACTTTTCCTGTACTTCTCCGTATCTCTCTCTCTTCCTCCCCTCTCTCTCTCCTCGCCTTCCCTCCACTTCCTTCTTTTGTTGATAAAAAGAGCAAAATAGTGTACTTTCTGAACACTATTCTAAGTAATAGGATATATAGTTAAATAATTTTAAAAGTACGAGAAAATTTTACTGAATTACCGCTATTCACTGAATTACCGCGAATTCTCTCTTAACTTAAGTTGAGCGCCAGGCACGAGTGAGTGTGCCGCTCTTTATTACTGCTCTAAATCTCGACTAATTATTTTCAATATTTCTTTAATGCAACGAACGATAACCGATTGCTCAGCCCCGCATGGACAGCGGGGATGGATTATTTGGAGCGGGAGTGAACGGAAGGCGAGAGAACAAATAAGAACTACTTCTTTTTTAGTAGTAAGAAAATGACAAACTTATATTTAATAATAGTAAAGAGAACGATTACAAAAGTCTACTCAAGTACGCAATTCCCCGTAGTGACAATAATTCGTCTCGGAGCGAACATGAGCCCGTTATGATCAGACGTTATCGAGTCACGCAACACAAAGAACACAAGGAACAGGCGATTGTCGCGAGAGTTATCACAAATTCATCAGTTAATCAACGTTTACAGCATTAATCGCGGCTTTCCGCCAGACGTACCATCGTACAATGATTTTCTCTACACGAAATGCGACTCAAACAGCGGCGTACAATGCAAGATGATGAGTTAACATACAATCACACTAACGAGATGCGGCGACTTCGCTATGGTGAGAGGGCGACAAGCTTTACGCGAACTGAATACAATAATCTATGCGATTCGAGCGAACAGCAAACGACACTAAAAGATTAATTACTTGCGATAGCTCTCTGTACGGGCCTTAGCCTTTCGGTTCGAATTCGGCACGTGCTATTCGCTCGAGATCATGTCGTTGGGAATCAGCCACTTCACAGAATTTTTACGCTTGTCTCACCGGCGATTCCTACTTCTCGTTCTTGTGATAGTTTCCTCTCGGCTCTAGAGTTTCTCTATCTCCGCTCGACTCACTTTACTTATTGGTAGCTCTGATTAGATCATTTCGGCAAGCCCCGGCGGGGGATGCACAGGCCACGCTGCTTTTCGGGAGCGAGGCCTTCCGGCGCCTGATTGGCCGATGGCGGTGCCGCACAACTCCGCGAATCTCGTGGGCCCGTGGCAGCGACGTAGCTTCTCGCGACTTGGCGCGGAATTCGAATTCTGCCCGGGACTCTTCACCTATTTCGCAGAGCTCTTCTTGCTTTAGGCAATTCTTTTGGTTCGAGTCCAAGTGTGCCGTCTTCTAGGCGGTTGTTTTGGTTGTCCTCTTGAGGAGCTACCTCATCCTGACGTCTCAGCATCCTCCGTTTTCTCTATAAAACAAGAGCGGCACTAAAAGGGCGCAAATAATAGGTGCAGGCAGCAAATTAAAAAGAGCAATACGACCTGCGCGCCCTCGCCATTGAGACGTAGTCCGGAGCCTCATCGGTGACGGTCCTCTTCAGCGGTCCTCTTGGCTCTGCTGACAATTGAGTGAGACAACTTTGACACAATCAACGGTAGCACATAGCTACCGATCCTGGCAACGATTCTTGCAGAAAAATAACACAATGCAAAAAAATACACAAAAAAATAAATAAAAATAAATTTAAGGTGGCGCATGAACGTTAGTGCCTACACGCTTGTTGCCTACCCTCACGATCCACTCGGCTAATCCGCGACACAGTGACGGACGAAAAACATCACATTACAGTACATATATCATTAGTTTCGAAATTCATCATTGCTCATTAAAAACAAAATGAGTTTTTGCAAAACATTTAAAAATTTCAGCCATCAGTCGGACACTTTGGATAATGCTAATGTTGGCAGAATAATGTTCGAATTATGACATTAACAACATACAGGTTAATTTATTCAGTCAATTTTCGTTAAGGCTAAAGGAGATATGAAAAAAACATTTCAGACCAAAGGTTCAATTTGGTTGATTTTTGATCGAGTTACAGAGCTTCAAAATTTTTGGAAGATAATTGTTGGTAACTTTGAATTTGACCTTAGAGTTTAGTTTAAAAGTCATGTCAACACACACTTGGAATTTTGCGACAAGAGAAATCATTAAAATATTGAATTTCATATTAAAATATTCACACTCATACCTTGGATCAATTCAATCTCTTGAGGTTATTCTTGATTTTACTCATCTCCAATGGAGATTATTTTTAAGATAATAGCCTCTATCGAATTTTATAAAAGAAATTTACACATATTCTCAGAAAGTTTATTTGTCACTATTTAAGAATCAATTAATTACGAAAATTTTTTTCATTGTTGATCAAAATTCATTGCCTTACAAATATATTGATCAACAGCACTCATAGCTGATTATTCCTTCTCAGAAATTATGGATATTCTTCTTGTTCTCAGAGAATGTCATAATTATCGTGAAGTTTTATGAGTTTATTAGAATCGCTATCCCAAAAAAGACATGCGAATCATTTCATAATTCGTTATATTGAATGGCGAATTCATCAAGGCCGCTCTCGCGTAAAAAATTACATCATGAATATAATGAAGACGATATATGTTATCTTGCTAACTGTTCATCTTTATTCTCATACAAGTAGTTGGATTAAGACTAGACAAATTCCCAATAAGCAAGAAACATTTTGAAACATTTCAACATTGCTGAAATGTTTCGAAATGTGTCATGCTTACTGGGTTGATATTCCGAGAACAACAATCTTGAGAATTTTGAAAAAAATTAAATATTATCCTTTACCATATTATGTTAATGCAAATTTTTATACAACAATGTACAGTTGGCGGGTACAATTTTGTTAATGGACGCAACAGAGCTGATCCGAATTTCTTTTATCATGTTATGTTCTCTGAGACTGTGTTAAAAAATAATGGTGAATTAAATAGATATAATTGTCTATTGGTTGAATATTAATCCTCCTTGGCATAGAGAAATAACCTGCATCGCTGAAATATAAAATATATTTGGTATGAAATTATAAACGGTTATTTGGTCCTTATTTCTTCGATGAAAATGTCAATAGAGAAAATTTTTTAGAATTTCTCAGAGATCATTTATCACTATTACTCGAGAGAAGATGTTGATCTCTACACAACTGAGAATGTGAATACAACTAGACGTCACGTATGCGATAATAGTGAAAAATATTTGAATCAAGAATACAATAATAGGTAGATTGGACGAGATGGACTTATCACATGATTTCCACGATCTGACTTCTTTTTACGGGGATATATCAAAAATATAGTAAATATATGAATACGCGCCTACGTATACAATCTGGAGGGAATTTCTCAATAATTCTCTGATTTTCAACAAATCAACATACCAGATATCGAAGGAAGTGGACAACGCTTCACCCATCATGGATTTTAATCAACGCCAAATCACATTGCGCGTTACGCAACGCTTACAAATTAAAACGCTGGCTAACTATACAATATAGCAGCAATTACGTTAGCCTTCCCTTCAAAAATTGGAGCAAAAATGGTTTTAGCAAAAAAACAGACAGCGAAAACTTTCAATACAATTTAAAAATCATAAATAATATTCGCAACATTGAAGCGTGGAAGAAAAATAACACAATAGAAAAGGCTAACTAGCGAAGACGAACAAGCGACAGATGTAGAAAAGAACTTCCAAAATTTGAGCTGCCCCCCCCCCCCCAACTGATAAAGATAAAGTCAACATTAGAGTCACACAAACGTTAAGTTTTTTTGAGAACTCTACAACGCTCTCGACAGCAAAAGAGGTAAAATTCTGAATTTACTCAAACATTTCCATTCTCAAATTCTCCGCCGACGAGAAATGAATTATCTAGAAATTTTAAACGCATTACATCATCTCAGTGTTCGATGCGGGAGTCTATCTTAGCCGACATACCGCCGAAAGTATGGACGACTGCCATTGTTACTAACACGGACGATCACGATCGACCTGGTCAATACTGGATTGCCTTCTATATCAATGAGCACAGAACAGAAATGTATTTCAATAGAAATGCCGCCCTTGGACTCCAGATTTCTTTTACGCCTTTGACAAAATTCCAATACGTATTGTTGGAATACAATGACGCTACAAGAAATGCTTTTTTAAACTTGCGGGCAATACTGCTATATATTTCTATATTTCATATGTAACAGTTATAATCTCAAATAGTTTTTTTACCTGTTTACGGCTGATTGTAAAAGCAATGATCAATTAATCGTACAATTTATTTCAGAAAAGTTTTCTTCATTATAAACATAAATTCGTAAAATCTCGTGCTATATATCGTTATGTTTAAACGTGTACTCTTTTAAAAATATAAAATATAAAATAAAAGAATTATTTTTTATGTAATATCTTTTTTTTCTTTTTTTTCAATAAATGTTTTGTAAAATTTCTTTTTCTTACTCCTTACCTCGCATTCCCAATAATAGTTTCCTTTCTTCTCGTATTTTAGACTTAGATGATGTGCATTTTTGTTTAAACTATATAAATATAGAAAGAATTTTTCTTTAAAGTAATGCTCGAATCAACACACCGCAGACGACATGTTGCGCCAGGTGAATATGTTTGTTCCTATTTCATGTTCCATTCCCTCCAAGTCTCGTAAACTTGAAAATTTTTCTAAAAAAAAAAATACATTATATTTAAATAATAACATTGTCTCTAAAACGACTGGCTGAGCACATCGAAACGTGTTAACCAAAACTATGGCTAACAGATCGTAAAACTGCCCCTATCCGCAATTAATCCCTACCTTCTCTTTCCCAAAGCGAAACAGGGCCCTGCTTTCTTAATTTTTCAACCCGCTATTTTGTCAAACTCTTACATCTCCCTTACTAGCGATCTCTTCCTTCCGTTGACACCCTTCCTTCACGCCAATCAGATCTTTGGCAACTATAGAGCGAACCAATTAGTATCCAAATTTAATTACCCTATTACCTCCATTCTTTTTCATCAGCCAATCAGAGCGCGCCGTTTTCCCAAACTGGGTCCATTTAGACCACGCCCCTGAGCGCTAGTGGAGACGTGAAGAGAATTTGTTTTGACACGTCATACCTTCCCGCTTACTACTTATAATAGTCAAAAGAGCTGAATGCTAGTATTACTTTGAAACGTTTGGATGCAATTGAAATGGGCAAAAATAATGAAGTAAGAATAATTATTGATGATAGACTCTAGTTTAAACAGCATTATGATTACATGCTAAAGAATAGAGGGAAAAAGTGAATTTGTTAAGATAGAATAGATAATTTTATGTCGGTTTACACTATGTCGACTTACACTTACAGATGTATTGTATACAAGACATCCAATAAACGAGAATAGATTAAAATATATTAAAATTTTTTCTATCCAAATATATTTTAAATAAAAAAATTTTTTAATTCAATTGAATTCGATTGGATTTGACTGGATTCAATTGTATTAAAAACTGCATTTTCTATTCAGATTTTTTAATTGAGCAGTATTCATGATGTACTTAAATAAAAAAATCTAATATTATTTTTAAATTAAAAAGTATAGAAATGTGCTTCATGTAATATCCTATAAATTAATAAAAATGCATTAGAATTAGAAAGGATCCATTTCAATGTTCGCGAATGCGCACTTCTGACAATCTGAATCCATTTCCATCAATTTCAATCCATTCTTGTTTACTGAACAATCATAATACTTCACTTTGAATTTGTACAACGCTGTTAATTGATATGGAAGAAACACAACTGAGCAAATTGCAGAGAAGGCACAAAACAGATTATGAGAATCATATTGCAATATAACTGATACACCAAAATAACATATGCTGCAAGTTTGTATCAATGAAACAGAGACTATCATAACGCATATACTTTTATTTTTAAGATCCTAAAAGGCATGTTGTCGGAACAATTAAAGAATAAGTTAGATTTTTTGGGGGGAATGAGAATGAAAGACAAACATGACATATGCTCGGAATTACAATAAAATTCCACAGAACACGGAGATTACAAGCAAGTTCAGATGAAAAACATGTATAATATTATAATTATAACAAAATTTGTTTCAAACTTATAGTCTGACTTCTTTCATCAGTTTATTTTGCGAAAATAGTTCAATTTTTTGAAAAAATATTCTAATACAAAAATATTCAGCTCATGGAATACTATATTAATAGAATGATTAAAAAACTCCTTCCATTAAAAAAATTTTTTATTAGTAATAAAAAGCTAAGAATATTTAAGATTACTCAAGGTCATCAAAGTATGTTTTCCTATTTATCCTATAATTTTGATAATGGAATATTTTTTTTCCATTTTTGTTTTAAAAAGAAATAGTGATGAGATTTTTGTTAGGCCCCTGTATACATACATGCAAGCGCGCGTTTCGAAAAATATTATTGATTTTTTTTATTATATATGTGCTTTTGTTAAAAATTATCTAACCATACAGATTAAAAGTAATTAAAATTTTTTTTTAATTGTGGAAAAATTGAATTTTATTAATCAAGCTGTTTAATTTTTTTTATTCATTTTTTTATTCACAATCAATAAAAAGTATAGCAACCGTCTTTAGAGCAAGTTTTGCTTACAATATCGACCATATCATAACACGAAGTGTTGCAAGCGAAATGTTAGCATGCATTTCCCTTAGGGTTAAAATGTGTAAACGTTGTCGTGTAACAACCATAGTCCGTGCTATCAAAGAGGGTACACGAGACTGTGACCCCATCGCCAGGGGAATAAGTCATTGTTTTGCGTAACAATAACGCAATATCGTTCTCGTTGCTCTATTTCATTTAATTAAATTTTTATCGCAAAACAGATACAGAAAAAAATTAACAACTGATTATCTCGTGCCGTTTTATGTTTCAAATTCATTTAATTGTTAAATTGATATTTGTTTTATTAATATTGACACAGTATCAAACGAATTTGTTTTGAAAATGATTATTTTCAACAGGTGATATAACACACTTCCAGTAAAAAAAAAAATGAAATTTCGGAAGTGTGTTATGGTTGTTTGGCCATGAAAATTACTATTTTTTTAGAAACGAAGAAAGCATTACAATGATACCAAATAATAGAAGATTTACAATAAAGAGATTAAAATTATTATATAAAAATGTTTGTATAAACAATTATTATATAAAAATATTTTAATTATTATATAAAATATTTTAATTTTCTTTAAAGGCAATACTTGTGATATAAAAAATTTTATTAGATTTTTTTTAAGATATATTTTAAATTTTTTTAGGTTATATTCCTATTTTTAATAGTATATTAATATTTTATAAAATTTTATCTAAACTTGTATTAAAAATTTTACATAAAAAAGAATTTAAAAAAAGAAATAAAAATGCATATATTTTTGTTAAATAATTAGCTTGTTAAATAATAATAATCAATATAAGTTTATTACATAATAAAATTAATTTAGCACACATGTACAAACACGTATCATTTTCATAAAAATAATATAATTTGAAAAAGATTAGAAAATATAATTGATTTGTTTTAAAAGTTGCAATCTTTGTTTTTTCTCAAAGAGATTCATGTGAGAAAAGGTGACCTCTTTTTAATAATAACAAAATAAAACTTTCACAAATTAATTATCTTTTATATGTCGTTTAATATTAAAAAAAAAGAGTTCAATTATTACAGTTTAATTTCCAAAAGCATATAAATAGTAATTCAATCTGAAATTTTGTGCACATAAAGACCAATTGCATTAGAGAAAAAAATCAATTTTACCACAGATTTAGAAACTTCTTCGAATATTTTATTGAGTTGAAATAAAAACACGGATGACCCGTCACGCTGCGCGCTGCTGCAAGACGACGCACCGTAAACAAGCGAGGATAGAAATTATAGATGAGCTGGCGAAGTAAACAGGCGGCACAGCAGGAGAGCCGAGAAAATGGCTTTTCCCTGAAAGAGAAATGCGTCTCCGTATCTTCCAAAGCGGAACGATCCGGTCCACAGTTCCTCTTCCATCGCCTCTTCCCTTCTCTTCCTCCTCTTTGTCGCCGTCAATATGATCCCATTGTGATATATACAAATAATAGAATAATAGGATCATATATAGAGAATATACAGAGAATGAAAAAAATTTTTTAATTATGTGTATCGCGGTGCGCCCACTCACATGTGTTCTATAGAGAAAATTATTACAAACCAATAAAATACTTTTAAAAGTAAATTTTACGAAAAAATTCCTCAAACAAAATTTTAGCAATTAAAAATAATATGAAACATACCAATAAATTTTTTGTATATCTAATTTTTATAAATTGTAAAATATTATAATAGCATTTTAATAACATTATACAATTTTTCTTAGATTAGACAATTCTCACATTATACTTTATACTGTTCTTTTATAGCCATTGAGCATTCTCACATTATACTGTTCTCTTATAGCCATTGATCATGTAAAAGGATAAATATAAGTAGGGATGGATGTACAAAGATTTCTTGACTCTTAATCGAACTAAATCAAATTTCATTCTTTTATTCGAATACGAATCAAATCATTGAGTCATAGCTTTTAACAGCATAATTATTATTGTCAAGTGATTTTTAATAAATAAGTAATAAAAAGACTTCTATATAAGAAAACTAATATTAATTACACGATGTATCCAAAAAAAATGTTTTATACATATAATTATATAAAATTATATATATAATTATATATAATTTTATATATAATTTTATATAATTATATATAAAACAATTTTGCCAGAGTAGTTATTTCAAAAATACTCATAAATATATTCAAATTTAAATATTAAATCTAAAACTAATAAAATACATTTTCTTGCATTTTGATAATAAAACCATAATAAATGTAAAAAATTATAAAGCTACATTTACAATCAATGACAATACGAGACTAGTGTGCATTACATGTGCAATTGATGAATATCTCGATTTATACGGCACAACACACTTTTCTTTATTAGATTCTTTCATATTGTATAAAAATGTATCGAATAAGCTTTATTTTATTGAAATTGCAGAAAATAGGTGAACTGAATAATTATCACCTTTAAATAATTCACTTTGCGTGCGTGCGTGCGTGCATGCGTGTGTGCGTGTGTGTATATATGTGCATCAGAGATAAGAATCCCACAATTCGTCACGCCCGTAGTATTTTTTTATTCCAAATCCTCTCTGCTGTGTATATAAAACTTTTTTTAACCCTATAACTTTGATTTGAACATATTTTTGATCTTATCCTGCGGAGATAAAAAGAGTGGGCGGATGGTCTGAGACACCCTGATATATACAATATATATATATAGGATGTATTTGAAATAACGCCTAATCGTATAGTGCTATACCTAAAAAAAACTGAGTCGAAAAGTCCTTTACCATTTTGCAATTTTCACAATAGTTAACGAAATATGAATTTCAAAAGATTGTCGAATAAATGAATAAAATCGATGTACTCATATAAGACAATTTTAAGATATTTTTCAGTGTTCTTTATGAAATATCTTGAAGATGTTTCTTAAAGAATTCTTAAAAATATCTTAAAGTTGTCTTATACGTCGACATTTTATTCATTGGATTACTAAAAAAAAAAATATTGCGAGAATTGCAAAATAGTAGAGGACTTTTTGACTCAATCTT